CGAAAGCCACAAAAAAAGATCCAAGATTAGATTCCTCAAGACCTGCCCGTTCCCTTCGCTTTGCTTGGGTCATGTCCAACACCAGTCGTGTGGACCAGCACTTTGCCGCAAGGTCATTGACTGCTGCACTTGCAAGCAACTTTTTGGCTCCTGCAGATTGGTGAGGAATTCTAAGAGGGAATGGCCACCGCGCAAGTCGCGAGGGGCTCGTCTCGTTTACACAAGCTACAAGCTAAGTGTTGGCTATATGACCGTCCCTTTGGGGCAAGGCGGGGCCCGGTTTACTAGAAATGTGTAGGACCCCCCGTTTTTGTTGAACTAACTTAACCAATAATAATATGTTTTAATTATAGTCATCATCATGATCATCATCAAGAACAACAGCAATGACAAGTCCTTTGAAGGCTGTAGAGGCTGTATTGGCAGTGCAGTGCTTGGGAGCGCACGGCAACTATTGAAGACATGTTTACAGGATCAGAGGTGAAATTACGGAAGAATGAGAATCAAGCGACGAGTACATTCCAAGAGATTCACAGAAGGTCGTTTCACACGGCAACGACAAAACACGAAAAAGAGCTCTGCCAAAGTTAGACGGACCGGAACAAGATGCCCCTACTTTCGCCCGCGCAGCCGCCGAAAAGCCTCCAAATGCCTGCTCAAGCCTGTGGCATGGACGTTTGATCCAAAATATGTCAGATAAAATCCATTTCGCGCCACCTAAGATACCCTGCTTTCTGACGATTCCACTGTAAATACCGTAACGAACCATGAGTTCCCATGGTTCAAAGTGGTGCTGGATTTCGTCCATCCACAGTATGGGTGCGTCTCAAAATAGGGGCCTGTAAGAATGGCCGGTTTCCTTTAGGCTTCATGCAAAGAGGGCTCCCCATTTCACAAACCCATTCTGACATCGATTTGACCCTATGTGTCCGAACGGGATCAATTCTTCGCACATTCCTCTGTAGAGATGTCTCGCAAAAGGAATTGCACCACAAAGTTTGGCTTTGACTCTGTTGAGGTGACCCAGCTTTTCCTTTAACACTCAGCATGAGGTGGATAATGATCTGACATTTGAAGTCCGCAAACCGACCAAAAAAAAGCGAAGCACGTTGTCTCGGGTCTAGTCAGACCCACTCGTCCATGCCACTCGCACTCCTCTACCTGGGCTGGCATCCCGGGATCTGACGGTCAACCTGGTGGCTGCAGCCTTGACCAATTGTGGATGTGCCGCAAAACGGCCGTCATGTGTACTGCAAGGCCCTAAGTGAGCAAAATACACCAAATTTGCTGAAACCAGTTTGCCCCGTAAAAGGAGTCTGTGAGGTGGATGCCATCGAAAGTGCCGCTGCCGTGGGCTTTCGTCACGGCTTTTGGCAGGGGTTCCCCTCGCACGGCGGAGGCGCCAGCAGTGCGGAGCTGTGAGCCGAAGGGAAGAAAACGGGTTCTGTTTGGATTCGCATGACCCCAAGACCCCTTTTACCTGTCTTTCACCTTCACGCATCAGAATCTCTCACACGCTCGTCGAAACACAAGGATGAAGATGATGGACGAGATGTGGTGAGAAGAGATGGACATGGAATGTCTCTCTGCGTTGCATCGTGAGTCATCATATTATGCTTCTCTTGTCCATCGTCAATGAAGGCTGACGGTGTACTGACCTGAGTTCAACCGAAGGTCCAACATTCCTATGTCCTTCTTTCGTGCTCTTGGGACTACACCACTAGGCGAAGATCCCACTCTCTTACTCTCGTCCCCTAAAATCCCTTCGCTCACCTCTCTCCTTTGTTTTGAGCAAACGAATGCTCAAAAAGCTTGACGATGCTGGGCCAGCTTCCACTGGATGCACTGGGCCGTTGAAAATCAATGACTGAGCGGGGTCGAGATTGTGACACCTCAGCACTCCCCGGGCACCAAGCATTGGGCGAAGAAATCATCACAAGGAAAAGACTCGGATGGTGGTCTATGAAAGGCTGGTGACCTCCATTCCCCGGATATTCGGTACTTCAACTACAATTGGCAAACAAACTCCCCCGTGCCGAACTAACCCAAAGTCATGCCGAAGTGCCACACGGCCACCCGAGCCCTAGGTTCTCTTGAGCTTGGCGTGAGCCATGTGACAACCAAGTGTGGTGCGCTCCTTAAAAGCGCGCCACAAAAGACGTGCGGCGGCATTGATCTCAGTTTTCGACCGGTCATCAAACAGCACATGCTGCAAGTCTGCTGCCAGCGTAAACCAACAAGGATCGGCCTTATTGATGAATCTAATGTTGGAGCTGCTTCAGTATGACTTGCCCCCCCCTCCCTCTCCCTGAACAGTGGAAACAGTTGTTCTGACCCTCTTTGGTCGGAAAATGTGGGGGCTTGGCTTGGACTTGGGCTTGCCAATACTCAACCAGACTGAATTAAAAATACTAAGTTGAGCATTGCCAAGACCTAATCTCAGATTCCCAGTATCTCACTTAGTATTGGCAATACTAAACTTACTTGGATGTCCAGTACTTAATTTAGTACTGTGTTCAGCCTCGCACATGAACCACCCTTGCAAGGGCTAGGCTTCACACCCCCACGCAAAAAACAAAACAAACATGCCATTACAAAGGACCCCACAGCCAGATTAAAGAAGATCAGGTGCGCTGGTGGGATATTTAAGCAAACAGCCGTATATCTAAACACGCAAACCAAAAATGGTTTGCGGGCCACCTCAAAAACGGGATAGATCTAAGGCCTAAAGTCCTCTGAGCTGGGACGGGCTTAAGCAAGCCCCGGTGTCTGTTGAGAGGTGTCTTCCTTATCGACCGCCCATTGGATATTGGGGCCGCATAGCACGATATTAATCAAGCAGCTGATCATGTTGGATCTGCTTGAGTAAGGTTCCCCAATAAGATGTGGGCAAGCAGAGGTGTTCCCCTGGTTTTACCCCACCTTGTCCTCCGGAACAGTAGTCTACTCACTCAACGTGTTTTTATCAGTTGGTCATGGGGCAGACCAGTCGGAAACCGGACCAAAGTCACCAGTTGCCACGGTGAAACGCGACCTCGTCAGGCCAAAGCGCGGGACCTGTGAGGCATCAGCCCAATGCCCCGAGAAATCCACCAGAATCCGAATGTGGGGGTCGATCAAAAGAGCCTTTGCCCGGTTCCTCATTTGGAGCAACCATCAAAAAGATGACCTTCCCTAAGAGGAAGAAGTCATTGAGGGGCCAGGGATATTTTTCAATTGACCGTAGAAGTCCCTTTTGGAGCCCCAGAGGCGCTTGCCGTCTTATGGTTGATACATGGACCACGGAATGTGCGGCACTCCAACTAAGAGTGTCCTTTCTTTTAGCTCGCTTCTCGCCCTCGCCCAGCGAGCGACAAAGGCTTCATAGCCCATCCCGCCACACACACGCACGGGCACGTGGTAAGTTCTTAGAGGGACCCCCCCCTCTTAACACACCGGAGGTCTGGGGAATTGACCCGAGTTTGCGCTCCAGGGCAGTGGGGCTTAGGTTTTTCGGGTTGGGTTGGCTACGCCAAGCCGACCTGCTACCTCGCCGCAGGGACGAGGAATCCGTGCCTCGGTGAAGGTTGCCCGGATGCTGCCTGCCAGGGAACTGCCAAAACGGGAAAAGGATTACAGCAAGTGCCTCAATAATTAGAATGGGGTTGTGGGGTAATTAAAATCTACATAGAGTCATGATTGCAGGAGAGACGGTCGACTCTGAGAAATCTTGACCCTTTTATTGCCATCCTTCTGGACAAGTATAGATCTCCCCTTGCCTCGTCGCCTCGCGTGTCAAGTCGCTAAAATAACATAGCGCCTGGTTCTCTCAGGTGTGGGGTTTGCTTTGTGTAGGAGCGGCGGTGTGTTCCAATTCCTTCTTGTTCCTTGCAACTACCAGTGGCCAATGCTAAGCAAACAAACCTGGTTCTGTTATCTCGATTATCTCAGCGTCTGCACATCAAATGCCTCGAACCCTTCATTAGTGCTGCTTGTTGCTCTGTCACCGCACATTGAGCTGCCTTGCCGAATGGGTATCCCAAGATCTGAAGCGCGCATCCAACTGTTGTGTTAGCCCAGCCAGGCTTCTTATGCCCTTCGATTTCCAGTATGGGGACTTCGCAAGCCATCAAGCCGTCCTTACTTTGCCGGTGGCCGGGCGGCACAGATCGCCCGGAGTCTTTGTACGCGCAAGAGAGCATAGTGATTTGGACAAGTGCCTCGGCAGCTTCTTGCAAACAAAGGCGTTCTGCTGGCTTGAGGATGTTTGCCAGGATTGCAAATTTGAACAACACAGAGTCAAAAAGGACGACAGCTTGCTTGGCAGCACGTGCAAGAAGCTCGTTTCTGCGAATTTGCCTCGGGCCTCGATAGATCGATTCACCTACCTGTTCTTCAAATGAGCTCGTAATCGCTCAATCTTATGAAGACTCAGAGAACGGCATCAGTCATTCCTGAGGCCGCCAAAAATCACACACAGCTGATCCCGCAATATGATTCCCTTCAATTACACCCATTCCGAATGGGCACAGCTGTTGGATAGCAAATTAGTGTTCAATGTGTAGTATCCGCAAACAAAATGCAGGCGGAAAAGCCTAGGCGCGAAGAGACTCACTCACAAACCAAGGTCCTTGCAGGATGGAACCACACAAAGAAAGCGCTGAAAGGGGTCGCGTCCGGCAAGCGACACAATGAATCTGTCTTCCTGCCTCACGTCATGGTGACGATCTGTCGGTCTCTCCTCCAATGTGCAGCCGGGCAAAACTCCCAGGCTGCCTTGAATCCGCGGAGCCCATGACTTCGACCAGCTTGCACTGCGAAATCTCTGGGGTGATGGCGAACAAGCCTTGGTTTGAACCCGAAGTCGCTTTGCAGAGATGAGAGCCTTGTCTTTGGAGACCACGCAATCCTCTGCAAGAACTAACCAACCAGGATGGGGTTAGGGTGAACTTCTATTTGATGCTTGGACACCTGTGCAACAACCGGGTCCCATTCTGATAAACCCGTCGAGCGTTTTTTGTGGCGAGAAACATCTCCTCCAGTGGTGCCCGAGATGCAGCTGCTCTTGCGCAAGGCCTCGCAGCTGTATCACCAGCCCAGAACCCATCTCACCGATCGGACCGAAAAGGCAGTGAGCCATAGCTGTTGCTGGGGGAAAGAACCCAGGTCTTCCAACAGTCCATTGGGGGAACGAAGGCAAGCAATGCGCCTGGCTGGATTTCAGCTGAGAATCAGAATCTCCCCCGCAAATAAACATGTAACCCAACATAGGGAGCAATAGGGAGCAATACTCCGAGGACACTGCGCGTGCATCGCAACACTTATGAACACAAGCGCTTGGGCGGTAAATATGGGGTCTGGGAAAAAGGAGGATCTTCTCTTCATGCAGCCCCTTGAAGCCGGTCAAAACCCCCTCCAGGAAGCGAATCAAATCCTCTACAAACCTGCCAAATCCCCTCTAAAAACAGGTCCAACTCCGGTCAAATCCCCCACAAAGCGGCAAAATCCCGCCCCAGAAGCCAATCAAATTTCCCAGGAATGTGCACCTTCGCTTGGCCCAAACCCACTGCCATTCTGTAGCTCTCTGCGACTCTCGTTCTGGCCTCGAAGCCATGTGAAAACACGCGGACACGCACCCACCCTCTGCCTTGGAAACCAACTCACGAATTCCGGCGCCGACTCACGCACTCTACTAAACACAAGACTTCGAGGCAAACTAAATCACGGGAAAAAACACAAAATCTACTCCAGCCAAAAGCGGACTGGCCGAGGCCAGCAACGCGAAGCGTTTACAATTACTCTATTTGCAGGTGCGGCCTATCAAGAGAAGAATACATTGGCGACTCTTGCCCCACCAGACATGTCAAACGCTTTGGAAGGTTTAGGTTCCCAAGTCACGTTGGATCTTGGCGAGTATCCATCTCTGGTAGTCACAAGTCATAAGTGACTGTATATGGCAGAAAGACGCAAGCCTCAAGCTTAAGGGCGCTCCTGGGAGATCGAAGTCCCCTTTGAGTTATAACACTTGCATGAAGCCAACATACTTTGCAGCCCCCGAAGTGAGGGCGAGTCAAACAGCAACTCGGGAGCGAAATGTTGCCATCTTTGAGGTGAACAACTAACTGCCAATGTTGAAAACTGTGCTGCCGCCCTCAATCTGCTCAAGAATGCAAGGGAAAACTGGTCCCCCCAATGAGATTGGGCTCAGGAACCTTGCGGTTGTGTCGGCTGCCTACCCGCGCCAATCAACCGCTCCCCGCCTCCCAAGGAATGCGGGGCAACCGCCCTGGCAGTTGAGACGGTTGTTCCAACTTTCGGCTTCAACTCTTGAAGCGGGTCTTGCAGTCAAGGCCCCAACTCACTGTCAAGATTCAGGCAACCCTTAGTTGATGGCTTGGATTTGTGGTTTGGGATTTAAACCCCTGCCTGTAGAGGGTAACTGGGACTTGAGCGAGGCGGGAAGGAAAGCAAGCAAGCAAGCAAGCAAGCAAGCAAGCAAGCAAGCAAGCAAGCAAGCAAGCAAGCAAGCAAGCAAGCAAGCCACAGCCACTGATTGTGGACGGAAACGAGCCAACAACTTGGCTACATGCGCAAAACTGCCTGCCGAGGAACAGCAGAATCCCGCTTCAGCATGGTCAATTGACAAGAATAGGTGCCATTTGGCCCGAGCTGCTTCGGCACTGCAGACCAGGATTGCTGAGAATATCTTAGGACAGCTTCAGTCGTACTTTCGTGATATTGTGTTTACCAAAGTAGGGACTCGGACGAATCCCTCCCAGGCCGACCCCGCGTAAAACAAATGGTCGAATCGGACTTGGCAGTAACACACACCCCGGGTGCAAGTGGAAGTCACAAGTTGTTCCAAGAAGCAAGGGTTCATTCACTTAGACGCTTCATGTCCAGCTTTTTCTTGTTTTGGGTATGTGCGCAGGTGCTTAGCTTCGGGGTCTAGTTCCGGAAAGCCAGAAAAGGAGCTTGCGCAATGGTGCCTGTTGGAGCTGCTGCGCCACAGAAAATCAGCAGATACAACGCAGCTAGTGAATCATTTTGGAAAATAGTTTTTACGGGAATCAGAGAGCATACCAGGTTTGACTCAGAGCCCGCCCTGGCCTTCGAATTAGAGCCGTCCCGTTTCGTGGCCCAAAGCCGCCATTACCGAATTCTGGTGCACTGCTTGAGGAAAAAGCGAGGGAAAACCGCAGGGACGGCTCTTTGGAGCCTCGTCTTCTCCCTGCATCCAAAAAGGCCGTCTTCCGCGGTTCAACGGCTCCCGCCTGACGGCATGCGCCGGCTGGGTGTGTCGCCCTCCTGGCAAAGAAACGTTGCTTGGGCTGAGGACTTCGTATTCCAGCGCGTGAAGAAACCTCTTCACAATGCAAATCAAGCGAGTCCTGAGATGTCCTGGTTTGGATCGTGAACGCTACCCGTTTCCATGACAGCGCGACTTCCTCCAACCAGCCAAGCCCAGCCTCGAAAGTACCTCTGGCTAGTGCCTGGAGCAGGCAATCGATGAGATCTATACCAAAGTATAATGGAGCGGGCCCCCCCTTGTTTTCGGGAGCTTAAAAAGCTGAAGACATTGGCCTCTTTAGACTTTCATGCTTGTTTCGGGCAAGAGCAACCCTGGGCTTATGCTCCAGGATCGGCATCCAAAACAGGGCCAGGTTGGGTGCGCCAAGCATGCCTAAAATAGCATGCTCTACGGATTGGCAGGGAAACCAGCAGGAACTCAATTTCGACCTTTCCACAGAAAACCTCATTCAATACGCCCACCTTGACTGCAGTTGCATCCCCCGTTCTGCCAAGAACAATGTCCACTTGGGATTCATCCCTAGGACCATGCTGCGGGGTGGTTCCTCCTCTGAGCATGGTGCTCCGTTTATCCTGGCGCAAAAGAGTTCTGTCTGAGCCCTTTCCGCACGCGCTACCCTATGAAGGATCAACCTTCCAGATTCCTCCACTAGCCCCAGAATTACTTGGTGGGCAGCATTGCAGCTGGCCCTACTAGGCAGGCTCAACCCAGATTGATTTCTACCAAAAATGGCAGCCCCTGCCTATGTCCATCATCATCATCCCCAAAGAAAGTGACGCCGCATTACCCGAAGGGAGCTGGCCATGCAATTAGTCTTCCACCGGTCGGCCCAGGCCACCAAGCACCTGAGTGGGGCTTCCCTTGGAGCCCAAAATCTCACTGCATTGGACAAAGTGGCCAAGTGGTGCAGGTCAATGCAAGCTCCAAAACAAAACAAAAAAAACAGCCAAGTCATTGTCCATCGCAGCCCAAGCAATTCTATGCCCACCTATAGACCGGATAGCTCCCCCACCCGGAAACCCGGAGACCAGCCTCCGCCTCGGTCAACGGCACCACGGACCCAGAGATGCTCGCCTCGGCTTTCCAAGGCGATTGACGGAGCCAGGGAAAGCCAGGCAGGACCCTCCCCCCGTGCTTCTGGAGCTTTCGGAATGGCGACATGCAGGTCAAACCTTCACACGAAGCCATCGGATAGTGGTGCCATTTGAGGGTTTCCGTAAAACACTGAGAAAAAAAGGCGGCGATCCCTCCGCTTCCGCGCCGCTTCCGCGGCGCAAAGCGTACCTTCTGCAGCATCCATAGCTGCGAATGCTCTTCATCTGCTCTGGTCAGCTGTGAAATTGCGATTGGTGATTCAGCAGATCCAGACCAAGGCATCTCCTTACAAGATCTCGAGAACATTCCGGGACAGGCTCTTGGTTCCAGTTTGCGGGCTATGCCAGCGATATGGGCATCGTTTGGGCATCGTTCGGGGCATCGTTCAAACCAAACCGTTTTCTTGTCCAGGCATGGTCAGTTTGATTTGTACAACAGCAAATGAGTTGGGTATCGGTTGGGCATCAGTTTGGGTATCGGTTTGGGCCCTGCAAATGTCTGATTCCGCAATCTGGGTTTGCGACAACAGCTTGGACCTGACATGTGTCTTGATGGCTTCTAGGGGTATCGTTTTTTCCTCTGTATCGGTTTACAATGGTTTGGGCCAGCAAAAAACAAGTTAAGGGACGTCCCCTTACATAACGAAAAGGCGCGGGGTTTTTATTTCAGTGCGCGTCGGGCACTTTCCGAGCTCCGGCTCGAGAATCGAAAATTTTAGTACAAATGTAGTACGCTAAGGCCACTTTCTCAGCTCCAGCTCGTTGATCTGGAACTTTTCATACACAGATGTAGTACGCGAGGTGCACTTTCCGAGATCCAGCTTGAGACTCGTAACTTTTCGGTACCAGCGTGTAACATGTTTAAAGGCAAGCCAATAGTTTGAAAGAACATAACAGGTCGCAGCTTCCGCGCCGCTTCCGCGGAGCTTCCGCGGCCTGCGTTTCACTTGCTTACCAACATAACCACCGCCACTAGCCACTAAAAAACGAATACAGCTATTTACGGAAAGCCTCATTTGATATGGTCCCTAGTTCCTTCCCTCACATAAAAGGCTTGAGCCCCAATTTGGGGAACCCAAGCATCACACGTGGAACACCCACAGGAAATCGGCCATGGTTGTGTGGCTCAACTGCCAAACAACCCGAAACCGCAGACCTGTGCGCGTCGCTTTCTTGAAAACCGGCGCAATGGGAGCAGCCATGACCACATGCAACGCGGGTCAAGTGGAAAGGAGGATAGAATATGTCGAACCTGCGTGGCTGGATTTTGAGATGAATGAGCGCATTGACGTTCTATCGCTCCACCACATCTAGGGAGCCGCCTCTGCAAGTCACGCAAGCTATGCCAGTCCTGGCAAAGCTCACCGGAACCATGTTTCATGGCAGGGCTTCTCTTAGGCCTTGGAAGTGTACAATGATTCTACCAATCAAAATTCGCAAGAATCGCACAACTCGCCCAATGCTCCCCTTCCCAAGACTCCCTGATCCCAGTGCTCAGATCGACGTGCCCTGAAAACCCGGACCTGCAACCCAACCCGTCGAACCAAACAATCCAGCCCTTCTCCGAGCGCCCGAGCCCTGAGACCTCTTAGCAGCCTGCAGGCAAAACGAGCCCCGAACCCATGCCCGACAAGCATCGAAACTGATTTGTATATGATACACATGTTGCACCGCTTTAGCGTGGATTCTAATCAAAGGAAGTTTAGTAAGAAAAAATCCGTAATACGAAAAGTTGAGTCACAAGATCCGGACGCACTCAGAAGTGAAGTCAGCACGGAGAATCGCGAAGGGTACCTCTGTTCTGCGTGCGGGTTCGCCACGGGTTCGCCACGGTCTCGCCACGGGGGCGGAATGTTGCCTACTGGCACAGCAGCGCAGACGTTTTCGGAGGTTTCTCGGAGGTCTATTTTGCGTGGCAGGCGCGGCACGTTGGCAACCTAAGGTGCAGATTTCGTGGCGTGCGCAATATTTTTTGCAATTCAAAGGGGCAGGCGCATCATTTTCGCAAGGTCTAGTACCAATTTTGTGGCAGGCGCAGCACTTTCGCAAGGTCAGAGATAGATAGATGGATAGATCAAATGGGAAGAGAGAGGGCAAGACAGAGACGGAGGTATGCATCACTTTGGCGGCCTGAGGTGCAAGTCGCATGGCAGGCGCAGTATTTTGCAGCCATGCAAGGGCAAGTACAGATTTCGTGGCAGGCGCAGCACGTTCGCAAGGTGAAGTACAAATTTCGTGGCAGGTGCAGCACTTTCGCAAATAGAAAGATAGGTCGAGCACAGATATGGTGGCGGGCGCAGCATTTTAGCAAGGTCAAGCGCGAGCCAGTCGAATTGGGGAAAGGTAGGGCACTGATCTTTTGCACACAGTGTGTTGAGGCCAAAGATACACTCTTACGGTAGTGCGGCCCCTGCTTTAAACTCCTCCGGTTTTGGCTCCTTCTGTTAGTTTGGGATTGTCTTCTGTGCACAGCGCGCGGAGGCCAAAGACACACTCTTCGGGAAGAGGAGGAAGAAAAGGAAAGGAAGAAAGAAAAAGAAAGAGACAAAGGAGCGCAACCAAACAAAAACAAGCCAAGCTCTTCCTATAGGCACTCTTCTCGCTTTAGAAACTTCCGTCCACTGGCTTCGCTGGCTCTACTGGCTAATAGTTAAGCAATGACGAACGGGACAATAAGGTCCACACCGTACCTTAAGCTCCCAAGATTGCAAGGTCAACAGCATGCCGCCTGTCATCTTCAGACCAGGAGCACATGCATGCATATATATATATATAGTATGCGTTTCTTGTTAATGTACATCCATCCTTGCACATGACCCTGCCCTTTGTACATCAAGGCCTTGGGCCTATCTACATGATAGAGCCTACAGCCCTCTGAGACAACAAGTGTCACATCACACAGCGCAGCAACCTTCACAAAGCATTGGGCGCCTAACAAGATTACTCAAACCACAACTTGATGAACAGAAGTTCGAAGAGAGCTTCACAACATGGGAGTTTCAACTCTCCAGGTACAAACAAGACAACAGCACACTACTACCAGACGCAGTCAAGATTGCAATACGGCTCAATGAGACAAAAGGACCACTACAGCAACATCTACAACTTCAAGCAGGAAACATCACAACATATGCACACATCAGATCAATGGTGACTGAGTGCAACAGAGCAACAGCATCATTCACCAGGCTTCAAGCAAATATATATATATATATATACAAAAGAATTTACATAAAACTATGTATCCTAATTATTGCCGAACAATTTTTAAACTATTCGAACATCTCAAATATATTGTATTATTAAAATGAAAATTTAAGATTGGGTTACTATTCTTCCTTTCAGGCAGCACAATCAAGGACCGGCGCCGATGGACATAGGAGCAACATGGTACAACAAAGGAAAAGGAAAGAAGGGCAAGCACAAGGGCAAAGGAAAGTACAACACAGGCAAAGGCTACGGGAACTACGGGAACAACTACAGCGACAACAACTACAAGGGAGGGAAAGGCAAGTACAATCAACAACCGGCATTCAAAGGACAACATGGATATGGCAAAGGAAAAGGATACAGGAACAAAGGAAAAGGCAAAGGATACTACATCAACCAACAGGCTATGGCCTACGATCATCACCAAAACAATGGCAAGACCACATAGCACACATCCTCACAGTCACACTTGGGCTTGTGAGATGCACAACAGAAAGCAATGTTTACAGATCAAAAGACTGTCAGGTCTACATCATGATCTATGTAGACGATCTCCTCTTCATAGGAGTGCAGAGCACCATCAACACGCTCTTCAGGAGAATACAAAAGGAAGTCCTGCTGAGACACACTGGCGACCTAACAGTTGGATCAACAATACATTTCCTTGGCAGGAACATCTCACACAAAGACGACTACATCGACATCAGTTTGAACAACAATTATGTTGGCATCATCCTGGAAGAATCAGGAATGACTACATGCAACCCAGCACCATCACCAGGAGTACCACGCATGAAAGGTACAGCAGAAGATGAATGGCTGGCATTCACAAGACCAGACATCAGCTATGGAGCAAAGGAGCTAGCAAGATCACTACAAGCACCAACACAACTTGACAACAAGAAGCTCAAGCACATGATCAGGCACCTTAAAGGAACAAGGTACTTGCGACACAACCTGCGACCAAAGATACAAACACAGGACAAACGAATTCCACTCAACATTGACACACACACAGATGCCAACTGGGCATCGTGTGAAACAACAAGGAAAAGCACAACAGGATTTGTACTGTACTTCTTTGGAGCAGCAGTACATTATGGCAGCAGAACACAAGCAACAATAGCACTTTCATCAGCAGAATCAGAGCTGTACGCGATTGGTCCAGCAGCACAGGAGAGCCTCTACATCAGCAACTTCATCAAGGAAGCATTTGAAGCACGCACCAACATCAGGATACACACAGACAGCAGCGCAGCAAAGTCAATAGCAATGAGAGAAGGTACATCAAAGAAAGCAAAGCAAATCGAGCTGCGACACCTCTTCATACAACAACTTGTCAAAAGCAAAATCATCACCACGCACAAGGTAAAGTCAGAAGACAACACCGCCGACATTCTTACCAAGTTTGTTGGCAGCAACACACTCAACAAACACCTGTACAACGTTGGCCGTTGAGGTCACACCAGCACAGTTTCACACAAGTAAGTAGTAGACAGTAGTCAGCACAGGTTGTTAAATAACAGGTGCACAGTTCACACATGTTTGTTTTACCACCTAACAGCCGGCATAGTTACAATCTTTTAGGGTAGATACAGCAGCCATGGATCGACCCTGTCTTTATGACCACTACATCTTTTCCCAAACATCTTTTGGGAGCTAGTGAGTTTGCACATGTCTCAAACAATGTTTTGATACATCTCTGCAGCCATTTGCTTACATCAGTTTGGTCTGGAGGTGCGTCGTATCCATACATCGCAATGGACATGCAGCCAATTACACCTCTGCCCATGATCGCACACGCCCGTTTGCCGGAGAGGTACAACGACCGCATGACCACATCGGTGGTCGACATCGGCTTCGTCAGGGCTGACAACATCAAGGGCACAGACCATGGCATCACAGCTTGGCGCAACCTCTCGTTGGCCAAGCACAACAATGCGCTGCACATCGCCCTCACCACCGAGGAGTACATCTCGCTTGTGGGAGACACAACTCCAACATCGCTGGAGAAGATTGGATACATCCCGGGCAACTTGCGCTACCCGTCATTCGACTTTACAGTCCTTACAACAAACCCGCATGACGCGGTGATGACAACATTGTTCCTGATGAGCGAAGGCAAGTTGGCTACAGCGAATACAACAGACCTCTACATCATTGCGTGGCACTGTGATTTGACAAAGCTTTTGGATCTTACATCAAGGTCCAAAGGAAATACATTCAACAGAGGCTACATGTTGCAGCAGATGCAGATCTACAGCAACGGCATTTGGTTGTTGAGTCCTACAGAGAAGGACAGCATTACAGCCTAGCGCTTGGTACATCGTACATGTTTTTTGGACATCTACAACAAATACACCACTCGTACAACGCCATTTTGTCCCTCGACAGTTTGCTTACAGCAGACAGTCAGGACACCATCTACGCTGGACTGTCACAAGCTTTGTGCTACACAAGATTTTTTTCTTTGAGTTGCATGTTGGCAAAGTGTGTTAAGATAGCACAATTTGAGGAGGGGTGTTAATGTACATCCATCCTTGTACATGACCCTGGCCTTTGTACATCAAGGCCTTGAGCCTATCTTCATGATAGAGCCTACAGCCCTCGCCCGCTGAGACAACAAGTGCCGCGCTGTCACATCACAGGTTTGACACATTTAGGTCATCAGGTGTTTACACAGTTAGTTCCACTTTAACATTTCTCTTTTGCGTCCGCCCTGTCGGCCGCAGGGCGAAGCGTCTTGGGAAAACAACCGCCCAACATTGGCCCCGCTCGCTTGCTCGAAAAGAGTTGCACCTGTTGTCTAAGATCCGGTCTCCTCAAATCATGGGCCCTGAAATCGACGCCTTTTTTGTTTGACCAGGGAGCTTCCACTTGGACGCATCTGGATATGTGCAGGCACAGGCCAGGGCTGGTGCCATGTTCCGCTCACACCTTCAACCCAAAAGTCGCCGTGTGGTTCCACATTGGGCAAACAACTCAAGGGGAATCCACCTTCCTCGAAGAGCCAACCATTTCCTTGGGTCATTACTTTGACTGTTTCTGGGGGTAACCTACCTCGGGGGGGGTGATTTGATCATGATAACCAAAGGGGGCCGGTTTGTCTGGCAGGATCTCTCCGCGCCTGGCGGGGCTGCCAGCAGCCCGTGGCATCGCCTGAAAAGAGCGGGCTTAGGGCGCAGGTTTTCCTTTTTTCGGTTTGCCCCCACGGTTTTGCTCCGCCCCTTGCATTTGTGGGGTCCGAATGAAGACAATGGAAGAAGTCTGTGGGTCACAAAAATGGAAGTCCCCTCCGCCCCTTTGCACACACGCGCACACACACACACACACCTAGCAAAACACCTAAAAGGCCAAAAAGCTGGCGGCTTTACCGAGTGCTACAATTAACCTTTACACTTGCAGGCAACCACTGGAGTGTCCCAAATATGTTAAGAGTAATCATGCAAGAAGAAATACAAAGATTAAGCCCTCCAGACAGAGCGGGTCCTGAATCGGAATTCCGCTGGGTTCGATTCTCGGTGAGCATCAGGCTCAAAATGGGGGCCCAAAAACGGGTGGTCTCTTTTTGGTGTCCCTTTAAACCCGACCTAGCCCCCCCCCGCAAACAACAAATGGGATGTATGAAATAGGCATATATATATATATATCACACACCCATCTGTCATTTGTAGCAGTCTACATGTTGCCGGCACACAATGCCTTGTGCCTTCGCAACAAGTTCGGCCTCGCTACTCCAGAGGTTCCTCTCAAGCAGATGGTAGGCAGCTAGCGCCTGCGAAAACACCCGAGAGAAAACGTCACATCGGCGGACCCGAGGATTGCCTGCTCAACCAACTGCCAGCTTGTTGGGAGAAATGACTGCCGTCAACCACATGTCTGTCTTGTCGCTTTGCTGGTTCCAGGGGCGTAGGTTTGGTTGCAGGTAGGATTAGGGTCTCGAGCTTCAGATGGATGTAAGTTGTAAGTAGGCTTTGAATGCTCCTGTTGGGTATAGAGTTGCCCTCGGGTTGGGTGGGTTCGGGCAGGACTGGCTTAGGGTTGGGTTAGGGCGGTTTAGCGTTGGGCTGGGACAGGTCTAGAGTACAGTCGGTTTCGCTCCAGGTGGGTAGATTATGCAGGATCATGGGCTTCTTCTGGTTTTTCATTCGATCTGTGGGGTTAACGGTTCAGGTAGCGAAATAAGGTGATCTAGGGAGAAGGTTCGAGGGCTTGAGCTGGCGTAGCTTCAGGATGGCCCATGGATGGGGACTGCTTACATGTAGGAGTCGTGCGCGTGAAATATTGGTTCGAGGTGGGTGGTGTACAAGGCCTACGAACAATCGGTCTTGAGTGAGTCGAGGCTTTCTTTGGGGTGGGACGTACCGACAACCTGGCGCCCACGTGACCCGACCCTGCCACGACTCGACCAGCCCACCGAACCCAAGAAAAAGCCTCCCAAAATCGTGAGACCCGGCACAAGAAGAGAAGAGAAGAATGAGGCCAAAACTATGCGCAAACAAGAACACCTGCCGGGAGATATCCCCATCCGCCTTCCGGCCCTCGCACACCGTCTGCGGCCGCGTGGGCTCTGAGCAACGCCTGGGCGCGACGTGGCTTCCCCGTGCGCCTGGCACTGCTGAGCTGCCTGAAACCTACTAGATGGAACAAGTCTCATGTGAGCATGGGTTGGACTTGTGCCAACTTGTTGGGGTAAAAGCCCTGAAATGAAAGGGTTGCTCCCTGCAGGTTCAGAGTAGCGCGAGAGCGAACGCGCCTAGAAGGGATCGGGGCGGTAGATGGTGGCCTCAAAGGAGATCCAACTGAAGGCTGATTCCAACAAGAATTCGAGGCGCAGTCCAAAACCACTCAAATTCCTTCTCCGTGTTTCAACCCATTTTGGGATGAATACCCCAGTCTCCGTATTCCAAACCATGCCTAGGATGAATACCCCAGCCATCTCCCCAACCGGGGACGTCCGGACCCGGATTCAACCAAAGGCTTTGGGTGCTGGACATCGGCTTGGGCGCCGAAGTCGCGATGGCCTCGGACAAGCTTTGGACAGCTTCGGCTTCCCTAGGAGAATCCACTTTTGAGGTCGTGCCCGCTTCCCACTCGGAGTGCCGCCAGAGAGCGAGAGAGAGAGAGAGGAGAATCCAATTTAGGGCGATACAACCGTGGCGAAAAAGTCCCCAGAGATTCGATTGCCTGACCCAACTCAGGTCTTGCAACCATGGAACGAAACCTCAGCGATTCGATGCGTTGGTCCTTCCTTGAGAGAACGGCCCATGCCTCCCGTTTAAGCAAGCCGCAAGCCTTCCCAGCGTCCCAGAAGGCGCTTGAAACTACGCAAGAAGCCTCTCACTAGGCAGCTGATGATCTGCTTGGTTCTGGGGGAAAAACCGCCAACTTGAAGGGTTTTTGTCAGGATTCAGAGCGCTCCCTGGTTTTCACGCGGTGCTTCGTGAGTGCTCGAACATGGGATCTGAACCACAAACATCCAAGAGCGCTGCATGCTTGACGTGTTGCCCAGAATGCCACACGTGGTGCGACATGAGGGGGTCAATGTTGCAAGTTAGAAAGCTAAGTGGCGTGTATCCCTTGGATTGTCCAACTGCCAATCGCCAAGACACGATGCTACGTTTGTGCGACGCAGGTTGAAACTCCGGGGAAGCACTTCTTGGTTGCTTGAGTCAAACAAGAGTTTATGCCCCTTAGCTGTGTTCAAAAGTCCCTATCTGGTCAACAAGTGCAATCCTTGAGACAGGCGTAGGACACCCCACTTACAGGAATGACACGCCTCCCCGGGTCCAAATCGACCGCGCGCAGCTGCATCGTAGGTCTCTTCGTGTAGGACGGAAAGAAGGGACTCAATCAGTTTGAACTTCAAAAAAGAACAGCTTTTCTCTGGCCCTATTTTTTAAGTTTGAGGGAACCTCAGCTATTATGGTTTTTAAGGCAAACCAAAAGGAACCCAACCATTTTGGCGGATCCCCTAAAAAAGACACACCGAGATGGCCGAAAGGGTTGTTTTTCCTTCCGGTCCCCTGCCTCTCCACGCGGCCGAGGCCGCTTCAGCGGCCGGCGCGCCTACCGCTTACTTTGCTCAGGTTGAAAGGGGAAGGGCAAGTTGCTTTCCATGCCTTGAGACGAAAAATTGAAACGTTCCACTGGACAGAGCTAAGAGCCACAGTTCCAGCTGTGTCATTTGATGCATGCTTGGCTTGTTGAAACAAGGCTCCCGAAAAAAGGGAAAAACTCCAAAGGAGGCCAAAAGGTGATGCTTGCAACCACAAAACAGGACCCCTAGCGGCTTGAGCAAAAAAGGAAGGGACCATCTCCCGACACACCGCTTGCCAAATGCCGCAGAATCGCCCCCGGGTATCTTCCCCTAGTCCCTAGGGCTTTTGAAGCCGAAGCTTCCGGGTCCTTTCTCCATACACAGCCCAGCGGCAGAGAGGTCGCTCAGCTCGAATTCCTGAGAGGCAGTCAACTTGCTGAATGCCATGTCCCTACACTCGATGCCTGATGTGAACTCCGAAATTCTCCTCGGAGGGCCCTGCTAGTCAGGGACCCCCCCAAAAATTACATCAGTTCCTTGCTAAAAGGGGAGCCACCTCTGACTGGTACGGCCCCTCTAAACCTGAGTTAGGGGGATTAATGTCCATGTTGCTTTGACTCGCACGACCTGATCACATAAATGAGGACCACGAACGGAACGGGTTGCAGTCCCTGCCATCTGAGCTCAGCTTGCTGAGAACCCTGCGGAGACACCCAGAGGGCCGGCCTGATCCTGACATTGGAATGCGCTCTCTTTGGGGACCTTTTGGCTCACATCAATTAGGTGGGGGCAGCTATGACCAACCAAACTTTAGGGTTTTTGTTCCAGTACTCATAAGCTCATAGCCACGCACTCAGTTTGTCCAACTCGTCTTGTCGGGCCTCGTTGCCCGCCAGTTGCAGCTGCCCTGCCTCGGCGACTTGAAGTTGGCAATGAACCGCCGCGAGCGGCTTTTCTTGGACCGTCGGTTTCCTTTGCAACATGTGGTTCCACCAAGCCCCTGGTTTTGACACTCACAACTTGACTGGTACCCTTGCCATCTCAAGGGGGCGTACCAAAGGCAACATGTTTGCTGAAGGGTCCCCTCATTTGGAGTGATGCCATGCCGTTGGTGGAGGTAAAGGAAAAAACACACGGCAGCAGGATCTTCAGCAAAGTGATCCCCGGTGAAATCCATTTTGAACTCTTCAACCAAACTGACAAAGGATGCCATGGGAGGTGCTGACACGGCGATGCCCCCCCACTCACATTTCTCCGGCCTTCAGCAGGCGCTCGAAGTCTTCCTCCGAGATCTCGTAGGAATCCTCCACCTCCGCTGGAGAAACATCGCATTTTTTGGGAGGCTTTCTTGTTTTCCTAGGTGGAAAAGGGCACCCAACCAAGACACGCCCTCGTGTTCTGCTATAATATAAGTCGTTCCAACAAAAAGGGGATGGACGGTTATGTCTCGACATGAGTTGGTTGCACCTGTCCAGGCCACGTTTTCCTGCTGAATCCAAAAGGAGCAGCTTGCCGCGAATAGCCTCTTTCCAACAATCATGGGCATGGAAAGGAGCTGCCTGTTCAAGATGACAGTCTTGGATTAGGCAGGGTACGAGGCCTGTCAAGTTGGGAGCGAGGTCATCCCTTCGCTCGTTGGAGGAAACAAAGGTGCACGAATGCACGAAGTCCAGCTAAAAATCGTTTTTGTTTTTCCCCTTTTGATTTCCCTCACCCCATGGTCCCGGAGCCAACCGCCTGGGCTCGAAACCCTCGAGCCAAATCCGAGCCGCGCCCCCGAGGCGCGCGAGGCCTCTGCGGAGGGCTCCACCTTCCCGGAGAGCCAGAGCCTGGAGCAAGCCGAGATCGGTACAAGGGAAAGAAACGCGGGGGGAGTGCGAGGCTGGGCTGGGGTTGGGGGATTCTGGGTGGGGGTTGGGGGGGTTGGGGGAGTTGGGGGGAGTTGGGGGAGTTGGGGGGAGTTGGGGGGAGTTGGGGGGGTGGGGGGAAGTGGTTCCTTTTCTTGAGTTGGCAAAGGAAAACCGAAACATCATTTTGCGGGGCCCCGAAGAAAGAAAAAAAAAGAAAAAGGACACACTCAAAGGGGTTTGGGAGTTCGAAACAAAGGACAAACCCTTCCAGCAGTCGGGTTCCGAGGGCCTCCAAGACGGAACGTCGCAAGGCATCAAGGCATGACACTTCAGATCTTCCACCTAGCGCAGCCCAAAAACTGGGGGTTGTTTTTGGAAGGGAAACTCAAGGGAACCCACCCACATCTGGCAGGTTTCCCTTTGCCGTTTGGCTCCCCCCCAAACGGGGAACCCTCAAAGCCGATGTGCGGCCTTTCGAACTCCTCCTCCGCCACCTCGTAGCAGGGCGTCTTCGCCTCGTGCCGACGCGCCAAGCTGGGTGGGTGTCAAAGGGCTGCCATCAAAATGCGGGGTTGGCTTCGGGTTCCCTCTGGCTTCGCTTTCAGCCAGCCCCAAGGCTGTCCTCAAGAAACAAACAAATAACACACCAAACAAACACGCGCGCACACACACACACACACAGACAGACAGACCAGCAAACAAACAAACAAACAAACACACAAACAAACAAACAAACAAACAAACAAACAAACAAACAAACAAACAAACAAACAAACAAACAAACAAACAAACAAACAAACAAACAAACAAACAAACAAACAAACAAACAAACAAACAAACAAACAAACAAACACAAAAACACACGAACGCACAAACACAAACACACACTCCCACACACAAATGCTTGATCTGGCATGAACCTTCTTGTGTGTCTCACGAAGTAGGGGGTGGAAACCACACAGAGGCTTGCAAGTGTTTCCCCGCAAGCCGACGACTGCAATATTTCAAGTGAAATTAAATGCCCCCCCCCCTCCCCCGATTTCTTGGCTAAGGGATTCTCCCATTCAAGCCATAAAAATGACTCGTCCCCCCTCAAGGACATGGGAAAGTTGCAATTTCTTGAGTCCACCTCAAAATGGGTGTGACCTTTTCTAGGGGACCCCAAAAAATGGTGGCCCTTTGGATGATAAACGCCAACCTTGCACACGCGACTCCACTGCCGTTTTCCAGCCACGTTCCAGCCGCGGGCGCGGGGGTGCATTCGAACCCCCCGGTCCTGGCTTGGCCAGGGACCAGCGCCGAGACCCTTAAATCGGAAGATCTACGTAGCCCAAAGCGGATATGAAGCAAATCAAATCAACGCCGGTCATTCCCTCATTCCCTGAGAACCAGCCAGCAAATCAAAGTTCGGACCCACTGGAAACTCTTCACGGATGCATCCAATCCAACACGGCCGGCTTAATGCTCCGGCCGGGGGCCGGAAGTGCAACACAGCCCCCAGGGCAGAGGCCCCGTGGCTGAATTGAAAGATGCCCTTTTTGATCTTGCCAGAGTTAGTGTTCTGAGGACACAAGGACAACCGCTTTGCAAGCATCATGGTAAGGTTATCCCCTCTCCTGCTGTCCGTTCTTTTAGGCAAACTGAATGTGTGCATTTAGGTGTGGCGGTAGATGAACAAAAAGATCAGGCGACCCTGCAAGTGAAGGAGCCGGCATGTTGCTTCTGTGGCAAACAGCAAGGAATCCGCTCCTTCCTTGCGTCTCTGCACAAAACATGATGATCTGATCACAGGTTCCAGCCACAGGCCCAGAGACTCGCCCGTTTTCAACGGGGGCCGGCATCAATGGGTTTTCCACCGCCGACAAGGCGGCAGCTGCTCCCGCGCCGGCGCCGCGGCAGGCGCCGCCGGCGGCGCCAGCTGCGGGGCTCGGGGCGGTGGGGGCGGGGAGCCGAGGCACTGGAAGCTGCAGGCCACGCTGATGGTCCTTGGAGCCGGCGTGCTGCGAAGAACATCGAATGCTTTTCAACAAAGGGGGCATAGACCAAGGCCCATTTCGCCCGCACAGCTCTTGCGTCCCAGCAGCTCTCGAGGCCTTGGCGTGGGATCAGGCCCTCCCCCCCCCAAAAAAGAAACAGAACTCCTTAGCATGGGGCCGTTCCTTGATTCGGCTTGTACTCACAGGGCTCTCAAAATTTGGAGGTCTCAAAATTGGTCCCTCGAGACCTCGTTTGCTACTCGCTCCGAGTGCCTCCGGCTTCCGAGCGTGACTCAAGTTGCGTTCCGCGCTGACGGTTTATCCTCAACCATCATGGCATCACGGTTGCGGACCATGAGAGCACCATTCTCGTCAAGCCCCCAATGGACACCTAGTGTTTGCCGCACCGTAACGAAGGTGGTGGCACAACGGACCTGCTAAAAATCCCACACCAAAACCACCTACCCACTGATGCGAAGTGGATTTGGTCCGTCCGCAGTGTCCAATTACCCCTCCCGCCCGGCACCTTGAAGCGCACCCCCCGCCTCTTGAAGCGCCGCCGCAGCTGCCTCGCGTCCAGCTCCTCCAAGGGCAAATGTAGCCGCGACTCGGAGATGTAGCCGCTGTGCAGCCAGAAAGAGCACACCACCTGTCGCAAATGAGAATGGCTCCTCGAGTTGTGAGTTCGGCTCTCCGACCTGGACTGGGACCGAAATTTCTTGATTGAATTCTGCAGCGGTTTCTCCCTGTCGAAAGGTTCGATTCGCGCAAAAGTGCTGTTGGGTGGTCAACGAAACATGCGCCTCAAATCCCTCTGTCTGACCCGTTCAGAATGGCACCTCTTCCATGTCGCTGCAAAGCTGGCGCCACTTCCGGCCTAGCCACTGAGCCAGCCCCTCAAAGATCCCCGGAAAGTCCCCAAATCTTGCATGTAAAGTCACACGCCATCCCTAGATATCTCAGCCCCAGGCTGACGACCACCTGGAAGTCCTCTGGCAGCACCGTGGCCGGGACATCCACCACCTGAAACGGAAAGGTTCCCCCGAGAGGACGTGGATGGAAACAAAGTCCTCATGTAGAGCCCAAATGGACCATAGATTGCTGGATGTGACCTTGGAACCCACCAGAGGGCGCCTGGTACAGGAAGATGGTCTTCCAGGGCCAAACAAAAATGTGCTTTTCGTGGATCCGCACTCAAAAAGTGCCACACACAAAGAGTGAAGAGGCACAGCAGACTGGATAAGCAATATCTCCGCTTCAGTACTTGGGCCGCTTGAGCTAGTTTCCTTTTCCGCCAAGTCTCAGCGATTGTCTTCTTTTGAAGGGCTGTGCATTTGAGCATGAAGTGCCCAGCATGTGGCTGGTGTTGCTTCCCGAAAACCCGGTGGTCCTCCTTCTGCCTCTCTGCGGACCAAATCCCGCAGTTGGCATGGATGAAAACGAATGGTTGATCCACCAATCCCACCTGGGGGCTTTGTGGATTTTGCCCACCCCCTCCCACAATGGAAGCTAACAAGAAATCAACTTCGGAGCCCAATGAGACTGCCGACTCTCTCAGCCCAGCCGCCACGGCATCTGGTGCCCTTTCCTCAACCTTCACCTGCGCGAATGGCATGTGGCTTGGGCTGTGAATGGTGTAAGGGAGGCACAAAAGGACACCGCCTTCTGGAAGAGTCCCTAAATCGGAAATTGACACGGTTGCAGGTTGAACCGACTTGATAAAAATGGGAACCCAACCTTTCAGCGGCTCCTCATGCCTCTTCAAATGCGAAAATGATCCCCGCCTCTGGTTCCTCCAGGCACTCGGTTTCGGATTGACTGGATTCGCTCTCCTCATGCGCTACGGCCAATTGGGCTCTCCAATCTAAGGCGATGCTTCAAGCGGGCTATTGAATCCGAGATCTGCCAGAAATTGGGCTCTCCTTCTGCAAAGTGTTCCAAAGAAAATGTGGCAGCTCCGGAAATGCTCAGGGCGTTTGCACAAACCAAGCGATACCGGCAACGCCTTGAGATGCCTGGCCCGCGTCAACCCGAACATGGGCTGCCTCTTCCCGTGTTTCCATCTCGGTGAGCCTTTCATATGGGTAGCCAAATAGGGGACCCCCAAAATGGATGGCGCCACTTGGTGTCCAACCCTAAAAAGGCACCCTTCAACAACACACAGATCCATGTACTGGTAGATCAGGAACTCCTCAAGAGAGGGTCAATTCCTTGTAAGATGCTTGCCCGTGCACTCCCCAAGGTCATTGGAGTTTGTAGCCCCAGCATCAAATCAGAGTGGCCTCGGCCCTGGCCCTAGCCCGACATTCGAAACAACAAGGAAGCTCATCCGTCAGCCCCGCTGTGTGTGTGGAACAACATATATATATATATATATATATATATATATTCAAATATATATATATATATATATACCCACACACACACACACCGCGCGTGCGCGGATGCTACATGAGACAACAAACACATCACCATATCAAGGCTGTACCAATGAATCACATGTGGAACTCAGGAACCAGCACAGTGGGCTACAGTAACCCATGAGGTTCGGTCGAAATATCAAGTAGTCTATGGTCCATTTGAGAGGGACATGGAGGGCAAGAGCTCTAAATTCACCCCACCAAAAGGTGCTGCAGATCCCTCGACTTTGACAGCGGCGCAGTTCAACGCCTCAAAAGCCGGGCCAAGAAGCGTCGTCCCGGAACCCGGAGTCCACCACCACGGCCTGCTGCCAGTCGTAGACCTGCACCTCAGCGTCGCTTCACCCACATTTTCATGCCGAAAGCCGTTTCGCAGAAAGATGGAAGCCCTGTGAATGGTGGGAACCACAGGTTGGCATGTATTCAGCCACCATCCCCGAGCTGGAACTCGGAGAGGCGCACCGGGGAAAAACCGAAAGCGGCGGCCGGCGGGGCCCGCGCTCGGAACGAGGACCTGCAGAAGCCCGGCAGCTGGCCAAGGCCCTGGAGGCACACCTTGGCCGAACCAAACTCCGACTGGCTCGGCTCCCTGCAGCACAATCCGAACGAAAGACACGGCCATTTTGGGGGGGGTCCGATTTTTTTTGATACAGACCCACATCAATATGGAACGCGCCCCCAACACAAGAACTCAGTTGAGGACCCTGCGTTTTGGAAGACGCATCCCATTTCACGGGTGCAGCCAAAAAGGTGAACAGGCCCCCTTCAAATGAAGATGGGCTTCTCAACATCGAAGACTGAAATGAACGCACGGGTTGACGTGCAAACAGGAGATGGCCTAAAAATGTTTGGGTTTATCTTGGATTGGTTCCCTGGTTGATTGTCATTGAACGGCCAAACCAACAAAACCAGAAGATATGGGCGTTTCCTAAACCTGCCCAAACGAAAGTGTTTTTACATGTTACATTTCAGGCACCCTTCCGCATATTATCCCCATGGCTCGGCTTCCCGGTCGCCGTGGTAGCTGAAACTCCGAGCGCCGGGCGCATTTCAAGCGGACCAGCTGTCGCCGCACCTCCCCTTCGCGCAGGACCTGCTCGTAGAGCTTCGCATACCTAG